GTGAGTATCAATCAAAAGTTTGAGTCGTTTTAAGGACAATGGTATCACACATCAAACGACTGTTCCGTATAACCTGAGCAAAACGGAGTTGCAGAACGCATGAATCGTACGATAATAGAATCAGCAAGAAGTATGTTGACGCACTCACGTTTGCGCAATAAATTCTGAGCAGAAGCTGTAAATACAGCAACTTACCATCGAAATAGAAGTCCAACAATTGCTTTGGACGGTATAACTCCTGATAAGTGTCTATTTGGGATGAAACCTGATGTAAGTAAGCTGAAAGTGTTTGGTAGCACATTCTAAAGGGCAAATGAAGAAGTTAGATGAAAATCTCTCAAGACGATTTTCATGGGTTATTCTCATGGGACGAAAGGGTTTAAGGTGTTTGATCCAATGTTGAAGAAGTTTTATAAAAGTCGTGACGTTATGTTTCTAGAATAGCAATTTTATAACTTTGAAAACAAACAGCGTGAGCAAAATTCATTCAAGATGAAGAAAATCATGTGTACATGACGTTCCTGTAAATAGCAATGACGAAGCCAATCAATAGAAGATCGAAATGCTGAAATGAAAACGGTAATGTTGATGCAAGAAAGTAGATGATTGCAATCGAGTGGGAGAAAATTCTTACGAAGAGAGATTCATGAATGAAGTTAGACAACTCATAGGTGAAATGATACGACGAGCACCTCAAAGATTTGACGAAGAATGTTACACAGTCAGCGACTTAACAGCAGACAACAGTGAACCCAACAATATAAAAGAAGCAACAACTGGAGAACATGCGAATGAATGGAAGAACGCGATGAGCTCAGAATACAATTCGTTGAAAGATAATCATAGTTGGGATTTAGTACCTTTACCAGAAAATAAGAATGTAATCAGGTAAATGGGTTTACAAATTGAAAAGAAAAGCTGACGGTTCAAATGAACGATTTAAGGCAAGATTAGTTGCTCAGGGTTATGCTCAATCATATGGAGTAGATTACGAAGATGTGATTGCTTCAGTGGCAAAATATAATACCATCAGATCATTATTGGCTGTGGCAACCATGTGTGATTGGGAAATACATCAAACAGATGTAAAAACTGCATTACTTCAAGCAGAATAAGGGGAAGAAATCTATTTACGGCAGCTTAATGGTTTTGTTGACAAAGATCATCCTGAATATGTTTGCAAGCTTAATAAAAGTATATATGGGTTAAAGCAAGCTGCAAGGTGCTGGAATGCCTTTATTGATAAACATTTGCTTTATAATGGGTACAAGAAAAGTTCAGCAGATCCTTGCGTATATGTCAAATCCGTAAAGTCCAAAAATGGCAAGATTAACTTTGTCATTATCGCAATATATGTCGACGACATGCTCCATTTCTCCAGTTCTTTTGAGATGTTGGAAAAAGAAAAGTCAGGAATTGCAAATAGATTCCATGTTGAAGATCTTGGTGAGATTCATTATATGCTAGGGATGAGTATAAAACGAGATAGAAGATTGCGAGCATTAACAATTAATCAGGAAAAATATCTACAAGGAATACTGAAAAGATTCGACATGCAAAATTGTAAAACAGTCTCAACACCACTTGAATTTGGAAAGAAGTATAAAACGTTAAGTGAAGGTGAGAATCCAGCTAATGTGAAGCAATATCATATGGCAATTGGATGCTTAAACTATGCTACATTGATAAGTCGACACTGCAGTTTGAACGTTATCAAAGTTTATGGCAAAACCATGACTACAGCATTGGAGAGGTGTTAAAAGGATCCTACGTTACATTCAAGGTACATTGGATTATGGTCTACACTTTACCACAAATGGCAATGATCCAATATTGTCAGGATGTACAGATGCAGATTGGAGTGGAGATATAGTGACACGTCGATCTACTACAGGGTACATATATCAACTTAATGGGAATACCGTGAGTTGGTGCAGCAAAAGACAGGGATTTGTTGCAAAATCAACAACAGAAGCCTAGTATGTATCTTTAAGTACAGCATGCCAAGAAGTAGTCTGGTTGAGAAAACTACTGGATAGTATCTCAATAACACAACGAGAGCCTACTATCATCTATGAAGACAACCAAGGGGCTAGAGCTATGAAGAAATCCGAAATTCCTCTCGGACAAAACATATATAAATGTGGCATACCACTATGTGAGAGAGAAAGTTCACGAGAATATCATTTCTGTTAAATATTGTTCCAGTGAGAATATGCTAGCGGATATATTTACAAAAGGACTTAGTAAAGATACTTTTCAGGAATTCAAGAACATAGATATCAAGAATAAAGAACAATGAACATTCAACTGATTAAAGTATAATCATTAAGTGGGAGTATTAGCATAAACGTATTATTGAAGTAATATGATACAGGAACTTTATATCTATAATGATGATACATGATTGGACAATTGATCACGGACTTTGGCCCTAACACTTATGTTTATATTGGGTTCTTTGTCTTGTTGACATCCTATTTCATTAGTATTCTTATTCTGTTCTATTGCACTGCACATTGTATTTGGTTATGTTATATTAAAATGGTTACTTAAACATTATAATTCCAATAAAGGCTTCTGATGATATTGAAAGGAAACTGAAATAGTCAAATCGTGTGTAAAAAAAAAGTGCCTTGCGATGAATGCTTGCAAAGGAATGGACCATTGCGTTTAAAGGAAATCCAAAAACGCTAACTGACAATTGATCCATGTTCAATCCTTTTGGACCAGCTAAGTGCCCTGTGTTTATTAAACTTCCATAGATGGGTAAGGCTTCTGATGATATTGAAAGGGCTAAGAATATTACTGATAATTTGTTTTGGCGAGCTATGTTGTCTTTATATTTTTGAAAAGAACTATTCTCCACCCACCTCAAAAAATCTCTAAAAACTTTCAAACAATGCAATTTATTAATATAAATGTGAGTGTGATGCTCTCTATGTAGGTATAACGTCTCAAAGGTTGGGTGATAGGATCAAACAACATGTATCAACTTCAATCAGAAATGGAACGGTCCCCTCAAGACAACAACAAAACGTGATTGTAAGGAAGTAATTTAGTTTCATGTGACTCCGCGATAGGTAAACATCACTGAATAACTCCATTGTGCTGACTCTTCTTCAGACAATTTTAAATCATTAAAAATGCCGTTAATTCTTTCAGTTATGCGTTATAGAAGCTGTTTTAGTTAAGCTAAACAATCCCGTCCTCTGCCGAAAAAACATTATGTTTTAATTCATCCTTGTTTTGAGCGTCATCTCCTTTTGGAGATGACACTCTTTCTTGGTACTAAAAATATCGGTAGTTGTAAATTTTCATTTAGTAGACGTTGACACCTGAGGATTACTTTGCCAAAATGCATCGTGTCGTTTAATTTAGAACTATTGGGTTAGTGCTCTTTACTTAAAACAGTTCTTTTAAAACTATCAGCTTATCATGGGATATTTATATGTACATGCGACCCTGAATATTTTAGATTTGATATTTCTATAGATTGCAATATCTATATGCTTTCTTTTATCAGTTGTCAAATCTGTTAGACTACGGGGACCAAGAAGGTCTATAGGCATAGAGTCGTGTGGGTATTTTACAATGGACAATGGGGAACAATTTGTGATGATGGCTGGGATTTAAACGATACTAAAGTTGTTTGTCGACAACTTGGTTATGACTATCCTGTCAGGGCTTTACGAGGCTCTGTTCCTGATGGCAGTGGAAGAATATGGTTAGACGAAGCTCGTTGTGTAGGAAATGAAAATAGTATTTCCAGTTGTTCACATAGAGGATGGGGATCACATAATTGTAAACATGATGAAGATGCTGGTGTTTTTCAGGTTTGTATGTGCATTATTTACATTTTACACAAAGATGATAAACTGAATTACTTGGGAATCCTCTATGACTAATTTAAATATTTAATATGATTTTATAATACTGAAACAGATATTGACAAATGTCTGAAGAATAAACACAGTTTCGGACATAAAATAACTAAATAGACACAACTTGTTTCACGAGGACATAATTAAACATAACTTATTTTATGATTGCCCATAAAAAGATTAGATACTACCAGAGAAAAAGGGCAGCCCATTGACCAATGTTCCGTGGAGGAATGTGATCTTATATTATCAGTTTTTTACAATTCTTTACATTCATTATAGCTTTTGAAGCTGTATGCTGTAGCTTATTAAACTCGATTAAAAGTTTTCATATTTAAAAGGAGCATCTCTAAATTTACACTAGGTTTAACTTCATGTATGGTATTGGCGTGATGTCTATCTTAAAAATTCATTTTAAATTCATTTTTACTCACCGTTAAGGTTTAGCAAAAGCCATCCTAGAGCACCAGAAACTTATTTCTGACTAATTCAAAAGACAGTTAAATTCAAAATACGATAAAGATTCCACGTTGTAAGCGAAGAGACTATGTAAACAATTTACTGTTTAGTTTTCTTAATTCAAAGTTATGTAGCAATGTTGCCATATGGCAATAAAATCAAATGATTGAATGGAAAACAATGGGAAAAATTCGCAAGTGAAAGAGGTTAAAGAAGTTATTTATATTACATAAAAGAAATAGGAATAGTCTAAATAAAAAGTTTTTTAGACTCATGAAAGTAAAATAATGTCTAATTGTCCAAAACTTTTTAATATTGTACTTACGTAATCTTTTTTTATTCATTTTTTTTAACTAATTTAAATCATTAATTTCGCCCAAGAAGATTTTACAATTGCATGTATAATAACAGGATACTTAATATGTATACATGTAACTTACAATATTTTGGAGTTGAGACTTCTGTGTTTTGCAATATCAATTTATTTTCTTTTTTTATCAGAATTCAACATTCTTAGACTTCGGGGACCTAAAAGGTCTAGGGGCATAGGTCGTGTGGAAGTATATTACAATGGACAATGAGGAACAATTTGTGATGATGACTGGGATTTAAACGATACTAAAGTAGTTTAACTACAACTTGGTTATGACTATGCTGTCAGGGCTTTCCAAGGAGGTTATGTTCCTTATGGCATTGGAAGAATATGGTTAGATGAAGTTCGTTGTGTAGGAAATGAAAATAAATTAACGAATTGTTTACATAGAGGATGGGGATTACATAATTGTACACATGATGAAGATGCTGGTGTACAATGTTCAGGTTTGTTTCTACATTATTTACCTTTCTATACATAGACAATAAACTGAATTATTTGGGGGATCCTCAATGACTAATTTAAACAATTAGTATGATTTCATAATACTGAAACTGATATGGAGAAATGCCTGAAGAATAAACACAGCTTCGGACGTAAAATAGCTAAATAAACACAACTTGTTCAGCGAGGACATATTTAAAAATAACCTATTTTAAGATTCACCATTAAAAGATTAGACAATGCCAAAGAAAAAGGGCAGCCAAATGACTAATATTTCTGTAGAGGAATGTAATAATGCTTTTATTATCAGTTTTAATACGATTGTTTACATTCATTATAACTTTTTGAAGCTGTAGGCTGTGGCTTATGAGGTTCCATTAAAAGTTTTTTTTTGCATATTTAAAAGGAGCATCTCCAAATCTACACTACGGTGTAACTTTATGTCTTGTAATGTGGTGCTGTCTACCTTAAAAATTCATTTTTAAATTCTTTTTTTACTGACCGTTAAGGTTTAGCAAAAGCCATGCCTAGAGGGCACCAGAAACTTATTTTTGAATAATGAAAAAGACAGTTATTTTATAAATACGATAAAGACTCCACGCTGTAAACGAAGAGTCTATGTGAACAATTTACTGTTTATTTTTTGCTTGTTTCAACAAGTTATGGGGCAGTGTTGCTATATGGCAATAAAAACAAATAATTGAATGGAAAACCAATGGGAAAAATTTGCAAGTTAAAGGGTTAAGAAGTCATTTATAAAGGGTCAATAGCTGCGTTTTCATTAGTCTGTGCAAAATAGATATGAATTGAACCAATCAAATCAATCAAATAGCAAATCGATCATAAATGTATTTTAGGGGTAAAGTTAAAACGTCGGTTTTCAATTTGTTTGTTTCACTTTATTGTTGCTTTATAAAAGAAATAAATGATTGTTTCGTGTTTGCACTGGCTTATGCACAGTGACGAAACTAGCACCTAATGTTGTGTGTGAGGCTGGGAATGAAATTGCGCTGCAAGTACCCAGGATGCCCTGCAGATCATATGGAGCAGTACTTTTTCAATATTAAAATATTGGGTTGATTGAACAGATATAAAAGAAATAAATAAAATAAATAAATGATTTTTTTGTGTTTGCACAGGCTTATGTGAACCTTAGAGACGTTTTTGAGCTTTCAAGTTCTCGATCAGCTCTCAAGTTCTAGCTGCCTAAGGTCTCCTCGGGCTCGCATAAGCCTGTGCAAACACATTAAACAACTTTTATTTCTTAAGTAAACGCAACGTCATAGTTTATTATATTCTTAGGTTGTTGGTTTAAAATATTTCTTCTGTCATTTGAGTTAACTCATATAGTCAAAAGATTATGTGTAGTGCAAAAGTGCAATTGCCATTTTTCAAGTACCTAGCTAATAAAGGTTAACATAAATAGTGAATGATATGTTTCCGTGAATTAGTTTCATTCTTGAGTTACTTTGTAATTAGTTAATTCATGGATGCCCTTTTAATCACAAAATTTATTACTGTCATTTTTTATGTAATGTTGCAAAGTTTGTTTATTTGTTAGTTCTAAAGTCTTAAATTCTAAAATTTTTCTCTAACCACCACTTTTGAGCACTCATTTTATTAAATTTTAAAATATTCTCCATATGCATCACAAATTCTCATGGCAACCCAGCCTACCTCAGCAAGTATAAGCGGCGTATTTGGAGAGGGTTACAGGTTATCAAAAAAAGGGGGGTGAGCTTTAGTGACACTTGTCAGAAATGCACAAGAAAATGAATTAAATAGCTAATTAATAGAGCATAGTTTAAAAAAACTGTCCAAAGTAAAACGCACACAGAATAACATTCTATAGAAATTGGTTTGCTAATATTATTTTGCAATTTCTTTGAAAATTTCTGATAATGCCCAAATTTCATTTGAAATGACATAAAAATTTGTTTCAAATGCAAAAGTGCGAGAAAATCAAAGATTCAAAGATTTCTTGTTGTCAAGGGCGTAAACCAAAATGTCTAAGATTTTGATAAGTAATGCGACACAGTACATATTTTAATTATAGAAATCAAATTGTAGTCGTATGAAGTACTTAGAATCACCAAACGTTTTGGCTAATCTGCACGCGTCGTAGCTACTTTTAAGAGCTACTTCGAAGAGCATAAATATTTCCATAAAGTACTGTCAATAAATGCAAACATTTTGTGTTGAGGAATTTTTGGACACAAGTCGTAGTCTCCTCCGATTGCAATAGACCACGTGTAAGGGATCCTTATTGTTGCAGACGATTAGAATGTTTTTTAATATGTTTTTATAAATGCTCTATAACAAATGTTTTATTATCAAAACCCATAAGAGAGATCCTTGCAAAATATAGACAAAAGACCGAAGCGAAGCATTTAACTAGTCTATCTGAGAAGGTACATGGCTAAATTTTTTTGGTGAATGAAGCAGGTTGAAGTTCTAAAGTTTATCGTAAGATTTTTCATCTCAGTCATTCATTCAGTCAAGTTCATCATTCATTTATAAAATTGAATCGAAAGCGTTGTAAATTGTTGAACGAGTAGGCAGAATGTTACATGTTTGTAAATGTCAATCGTCCAGGTTGGTATATTTCTGAGAAGGACTGTTTTTGTTGTTGTTGATTGACGTTTCGACAACCTTAGCGGTAGTCATCTTCAGAGTCACATTGAAGGCATCCAAATTTAGTCTCGACATCAAGTTGTAGACCTTGTCAAAATATTTTCTCCGTAGACGGACCTCCCAGCAGGCAAATACATGTTAAACAGGGGCGGATCCATGGGGTATCCAAGGTGGCCCTGGACACAGTCAGAACTCGAAAAAAAATATTGAAATTCAGACATAAAACATAAGTTTTCTTAGCTTATTAAGTTTATTGAGTCTATTTTTAACCAATAATACTAAAAAAACACATGAATTGCACTTGTTGACGCACTCAAAATTTGCATTTAAGCGACAGATTTTATAAATCCTCGTATTATTCCGCCGTTTAGATTTGTCTAATGTAATCCGATTATCATACAAAACGATAACTCGATTGTTGTTCGAATTCCAGTTTTGCTATTACGATTAAAAAGGCGACCGCAAATCTTACCTTTTGACACGGTCAGTGAGCGTTTTCTTGCGCAATTTCGGCATTTTTGACCACAGTGACATAATTGCAAATAATGTCCAACCAATTAAAACTCACAATTTTCATCACCTGATTGTAGCAGATCACAGTTGGCCACGGTTGCGCAATATTTATTGCGAAATTTCATAGTAATTCAACTGAATTAAAAATTACTTAATCCTAATATCGACTTACGCGTGCCGTGCGTGTTGTCAGTTTATATTCAGACAATATTCTCAACAATTCCGCTTAAAAACATGGATTCCATTGCTTTATCGAAAGTCATCGAGCTTTTTGGGAATTATAACTCGAAGGATATCCCTAGTGAATTCATATTGCTTTGAGAGCAATGCGAAAAAGCTATTCCTGAGAGACGAAATCGTGTAGGTGATTGTAAACAAATTACAGTGCAGCTGTGCTCATTTTGAAAACTACAGTTTCCTAACAGTCAGAGAGAACGATCAAAATCAAAGGTTCTTTCTCTTAATTATTGATGTTAAAATATTTATGAGTCTTCTACTGTTTTAGGCTAGGATACATGATGATAGTATATTTATAATTCAAGCTAACTATATTATGCATTTCTTTGTATGGGAAAATATTAAATAATACACGATGAATTGATTAATTGTGTGTTTTACAATGTTTTGAAACTATCATATACCTAAAAAACCTAATCATTAACCTTACAAAGAAATTTGTCCACCAATAAAGTAACATTATTTACGATTATAGATGTTATGAAGTACGTGTTATTAATTGGTGTTTGTGTTAGTTTATAAATATGGTTTCACTATGTTTTCATGTGACATCAAAGTGCTATGTTAGACTACCTATATACAGTGTGCAAATAAGTTGAGAAAAAACGATGTGCAATTTTTTTTGATAAAAGTGTTTTTTAGAGACATAATCAAATCGATGCTACGTTAATTATTATATAGCTCTAATTGCTAAATTAGTATTTTTAAACGTGAACAAATTCATATGATTTACGACAGTATTTTCGTTACAACCATTGGTCAAGTTAATAATGTATTAGAGAAATTTTTTGCGCATGTTATTCTCTCCTCTTTTTCGTGCAAACTTTACAGCGCAATAAATTCACCAAGTGGCCATCATCCCAGTACTCAAACGAGTCAGCATTTGATGTTCCCATCAATTTTTTCACTGTATTAACTTTGCTGGTAGCTACAACCTTTCGACCAAAACGGCAAGAAAGACAAAAGTTAAAAGAGAATAACCAAATATACTTTCGCTTTCTGATTATTAACAGTAACATCCTTGATGCTTGCTTACGATAAAAAAAACATCATATTTATGTCATATTACAAGCAATATGTAGAAGCAAAAATTATGGCTGATCAATGTTGCTAGTTTGGCTTAATAATTTGAGCCAAATTTGGCTTAATATTTTTTGGCCAAATTTTTCTTCATTTACTCACGTTAGGCTTACTTAAAATCATAACTCCCTTTTGTTATTTTTCAAATTTGGCTTAATTAAGTTTTTTTTAATCTTTTTTTAAGAATCAATATAAACATATTTCCCAATTTTACTGAAAATACTCAAAATAGCTATGATGCCAATTGCCAAAAACAGTACGTAACGGTTTACAAAACAACGCAAATGCAAAAATTGACATTAATAATCTATTACACTCCTATTTTCATAAGCACATAAGCACCATGTATGTTGATGTTGGCAGACTTACCAGTCTCAAAGTGATAAAATCTTTAAAATTTGATGACATTGTGTCAACATGGATTTTAATGTCGTGCAGCGCACTAGTTTATAAAGTAAATATCAGTAAAGTTAAGCATGAAAACTTTTTTCAACTTATGTGGTAGCAATCAATAAAGAAGTTTTTTGCATATCGTTTGAAAAATTGATGTGCAAATGTTTTCATTCAAGCTAAAACGATGAGCAAATTGCACTTTGCACACCATTAATTTGCACGCTGCCTATATAGTTTCGATACTCGACTGTGCAGGAAATCTACCAACTAATTTACACTATTTGAATTTTTATACAAACATCATCAACCAGCTCCTCTTAAAACACCTTATTCATGACCTTTACTCTGATTTATCAAAATATGTGCTTATAATATACACCGAGTACTCTTATCATTTTTATGTAGCTTGAAAGTAAATGCAGATTTGGTATTTATCACTTTCTTTCTTTGAATATTGCAAATACTTCTTTATGTTTAATACACTGGCTGATAGGAAATGTGTGTACTATGCATGCTCCATTTCAATGGTAGGGGAAAAAGCTTATCACTCTATCTATGTTGCCCTACCAGCATTGAATTTTTTTAGAATGCTGAGTATTATGCTCACTATCCATTAAATCATATAAAAAACATAAGGATGTGGCATTTACATGTTTTCAAAATGATTTGCTTTGTGTTTGTCGGATACTTCCCTTTCAGTATGTGAATGGCACAGCTATATTGCAGCAGCTGTGGAAAAAGCTAAGAATAATGCACACAATTTTATGCATTCATCAATGATGTGTACGTTCTCATTGGTATCTGTTACATCCTGCATTATTGAATCATGCTACCCAATTGGAAATGTTTCTTTACCAGACTTGGTATTCTCTTTGAACATTGCTTGCATTATCATGCTCCATGCATACCACTTTTTGAACACAGGAAGAAAGATGATGCATTAATTTTTGTAGTTTATTGTATTGTTCTTTTACTTTTAATTGAAAAAAATGACGTGCTTCATCTTTCTATTCTACCAAGGAACAATACTATGATTATCAAAATGGATGAAACTGTTTTGATTTGATTTTGGTAAGACTTGGCAAACATAAGTAATATTTACGGACAATATTTCAAATTGGTCAACATTTTTGATTTTTTTTTCCGTTCAGATCATGAATAGGGTTTTCTTATATTCCTTCATATATACTAAAAGCAGGAAATCGCTTTTCTGAGAGTCAAAGTTTATAAAATTTTATAGACTCTGACGAAAGATCCTAGTGATGGGGAATCATGTCAAAGAAATACACTTAAAACCTAATTCTAATCGAAGATGCTTTTCGTAAAATATGTCGTGAAATATTTAAAAGCTTATGTAGAAAATGCTGTGTGTTTGACATTTTTATCCATTGTTGAAATGTATCTGTAATACAAAACTACGTGTAAACAAGTTGTAATCAACAATATTATCATATAAAGTAAATGTAGATATTATCATAATCTATAAAAAAAAGTAAAATGACGAAGTTTCATATCTGCTAAGAATAAAATATTGTTAACAAATCAAATGATTTACTGAATTACATTATCTTTGACAATTGACAAATCAGGCCGAAAGATTTTCTTTTGAATTTACATAAAGTTATTACGTGGATTCCGCAAGACAATGCTGGTGATTGCTACCTACCATGCCGCTTGTACTGCCCACCAACCAAAGATGACCGCGATTGCATTAAAATAAAATTAATAAAACCTGTTCATGATGTGTTTCCAAAAGAGAGGCAAACCTCGACATACTTTGTAATTAAAAGAAATCTTGAAAAAATCGATCTATTGTAAATCTTGACATTCAGTTTTTCCGATGGGACTTGTTAATCCTGTAGATTGATTACCAATAATTTGATGCATTGTAGGAATCAGAAATGTCTAGAATATGATATTGAGATAAAAATTAAGAATCATTTTGTCTCACTCAAAATGGATGACGATTTTAGAAAATGACGTCAGATATTGCATTCATGAATTATTATGTTTCTAATCATTTATGATTTAACAAACATCAAGCACAGCATAAATTACTATTTTTTAAATTGCAATGTTTATGATTGAACAATGGATGCAAATTATAAATTATTAGCTAAAACATTTCATTTTTTTAAAATTTTTCTGAGTACAGACTACAGCTAAAATGAAGTGTTATTCTTTCTCATGATATATATCTGTTAGGAATCATAACCAGATCAGAACGGCATCGCTCAGAAAGTTTTGGTGATTTAGAAAATCTACTATTATGTAACGCTAAAGTATCGTTTGCTTGACATTATATCATATTATAAAATAAACACAATGAAACACGTGCGCTGATTGGTTGAGACCTGTGTTTGCATTAGTCTGCGAAAAACGATCCGAGCTCAACCAATCAAATCAATCAATCAATCAAACAGAATTTGAAAATTAATCGTGGCTAAACGTTAAAAGAATATTATAACGGTTTTTTCTTTCGCATTATTGTTATTTTTTAAAAAAAACAAAAGATATTTTTCGTATTTGCACTGGCTTAAGCAAACCTTGGAGAAGCTTGTGAGAACTCTTGAGCATGTGTAACCATCGACATTCGGTCTCGGGCTTAACTGATCTGCTCTCGAGTTCTCTCAAAGGTCTCCTCGATTTGCACAAGCCTGTGCAAACACATGCAGTAAACATCTTTTATTTATTAATTTGTGTACGAATTACTTCATTTGTAAATAACATCCTTGCTTTATTAGACAAAATATTTACGAAATGCTAAAACGTCAATGGTTTTCACAGAATCTGTTTACAAAAGAATACATTTACTATCCTAGATGAAAACATGAGACATTTTCATTTCATTATGCCTAAGAAAAGAGTTTAACGACTTTCTTTACCCTTTATTTAGAAAGAACACTTATAATTCGATCAAACCTTTGTAATCTTCGTTGTTAGGTCCTTACATCTTAACAACATAATGACATAGTGACATGATTGCAGATGGTGTTATAACATTTATTTGTATAACATTTAAATACATGGAGTGCCACTTGTAATAAAAAAACGGGAGATTTTACCCCAGACACGCTTGTGAAGTCAATCAATTATTACTCCGCGCGAGAGTCTCGAAACACTAAGCACGCGTGTCTGGGGTAAAATCTCGCGTGTCTGGTGTAAGATTTGGGCTTTTGGCTTCAATTATTAGCTTTAGGTAGCGTTCCATGTATTTTAGTTCAATGTGCTATAACGACTACGCTTGGTAACCTGGCAAACATGTCGCTGAGTGGTAATGACCTAGCATCAACGACGGTGTGTTACACACATAGCTACATAACTTCCTGGAAGTGTTATCTTGCCTATATTAAATTATATGGTATATGTCTGAACACAGGTCTAAAAAGATAGTCAATTAAAACAAAGTGCAAAGTTTGTTTCGCAATAATGTTTTTGATGAACGTACTAAAACTACATTAATTTGCGTCGATTTGTGATTACTCTTTTTCTATCTTCTTTCATTTTCTCTTACATCGAGGAAGAGCACTTAAAATTATGTTTGCTTCTTTTTGTTAGGTTTTGTTGATGATAAAAAATTCGTACAAGTTCAAAATGGGATCTTAAATAAATGTTTTTTAATCAAGTATCCTCTACCTCATTTTTCAAAATACTATGCCCTAATATTTAAGTTATCTGGAATAAAAGCACTAAAATGTCAAATGTTTCAACCCAGTTTCAACGTAACACGAAGGGGGGGAAAGGATATGCAATAGAGAGAACTTTTATTGTGTGTGATTTACTTTGAAAAACATCACCGAAATTTTTTTTTCTTTTTGTTGAATGTTTCATGAAATCAAATCATTTTGATCTTTTTGCATAAAGTCACTGAGACAGGTATTATTTGAAAATATTGACGATTTCGATATGTCTTAAAATTAAGAAAAGATTTCTTCAAGGTTAATGCCTTTCAAAACCTCTATTGATTGCTGATCATCCGGATTAAATAGGAAAAGAATCAAGTGAATGTAATGTATTAAAATGAGTTTTGTTTAATTTTTTGAGCTGATTTGTGAAGGTCTTATCGGATTATCTCGTAGTTTTTTTATTATGTCAATGTTTTCATTTTAATGCGGTTTGTTTTGACATTTCAAGTTTTAGCCTAGATTTAGTTTTGAAATGAGATAATTAACAACCATGAGTTATGTAGCTAAATATTCTTTTGTTCGAATATATAATGTCAAGAGATGCTTACTGAATTTCTTGCTGAAATCGCAACCAAAGGAAAACTAAAATTTATTAAAAGTGATAATCGAGAAGATTTTGTAGGATATGAGTTCAAATTTCTTTTAAGTAATAGTCTAATCAATAAGGAGACATTGTTCATTGAGAGTTATTCGCCTTACCAAAATGGGACGGAAGAGAGAGACTGGTTAAATTTATTGAACATGGCCAGATGGTTACTAGTAGAATCAAAAATACCATAGTTCTTGTAAAGTTATGCGGTAATGGCATCTGCATATCTTGCAAATTTTGAAATTTGCATTTAAGCGACAGATTTTGTAAATCATCGTATTATTCCGCCGTTTAGATTTGCCTAATGTAATCCGATTATCCTACAAAACGTAACTCGATTGCTGTTCGGAGTCCAGTTTTGCTGTTACGATTAAAAAGGCGACCGCAAATCTTACCATTGGACATGGTCAGTGAGCGCTTTCTTGCCAATTTCGGCATTTTTGGCCACAGTGACGTTATACTAAAGGGTGGCTAACCAATTAAAGCTCACAATTTGATCACGTGATTGTGGCAGATCACAGTTGGCCACGGCTGCGCAATATTTATTGCGCAATTTCAGAGTAATTCGACTGAATTAAAAATTACTTAATTCTAATATCCACTTACGCGTGCCGTGCGTGTTGTCAGTTTAAATTCGGACAATATTCTCGACAATTCCGGTTAAAAACATCGATTCTATTGCTTTATCGAAAGTCATCGACCTTTTTGAGCATTATAACTCGAAGGATATCACTTCACTGGTGAATTAATATTGCTTTGAGAACAATGCGAAAAAGCTATTCCTGAGAGACGAAATCGTGTAGGGAATTGAAGCAGATAACAGTGCAGCTGTGCGAATTTTGAAAACTACAGTTTTCTAAGAGGCAGAGAGAACGATTAAAATCAAAGGCTCCTTTTCTTAATTATTTCATGTTAAAATATTTATGAGTCTTCTATTGTTTTAGGCTAGGATAGTAAATTCATGACTCTAGCTAACTATATTATGCATTTCTTGGTCTGGCAAAAAATTGAATAATGCATGATGAAATGATTAATTGTGTGTTTTACAGTGTTTTCAAACTATGATATACCTAAAAAACGTAACCATTAACCTTACAAAGGAAATCGTCTACCAATAAAGTAACATTAATTATGATTATAGATGTTATGAAGTACGTGTTATTAATTGGTGTTTGTGTTATTTTATACATATGAATTCACTATGTTTTCATGTGACATCATGAAAAACATCTTAAAACATTCAAGAAAAACAATAAATAAATGTTTTTGTAATCAAGTATTCTCTATCTCATTTTTCAAAATACCATACCCTAATATTTAAGTTACCTGAGATAAAAGCACTAAAATGTCAAATAATTCAACCCTGTTTCATGGTAGCACGAAGGGGGGAAAGGATATACAATAAAGGAGTTATTTGCATAAGCGAATAATAATTTTATTGCTTCCGCGGGTTATTTTGTAGTTTAAATTGTAAATAGAGTTATGTTAATCAGGGGGAAACAAAGAGAGGGTGGGACACACTCTTAACATATAAAAAAGTACTTGGAATGTTTGTTACTTTTACTCAAAGCAGTCCGCGTGCTAAGGTCATGGAGTCCAAGGCTCATTGTGGACGCTACAAGTGCAAACAGGATGTTGGCTACAGTTATTTGCATTTTGTTCACATGCACGTAGTGTGATTCACGTGCACAGGTATAAGCCTTATAGGTAATGCACAAACAAATCATATACCTTACTTGTATTAAAATTCGCGTAGTACTAGAATTCGCGCAGCGCTAAGTGCGCGAATTTTAGTACTGCGCGAAATATAATCCGCGCGAAAAGCTTTGTAGTGTAATATGAGACATTCATTGTTGATTATGCAAATCAGTTGTTTTATTAACCCATATACATATTAACATATGTTTTTTGTTGTCCTGGTAACATTAAAAATCAAAAATGTCTTCATTTTCCTCCTGTATAATTTCAGTCGGGATATTTTCAGGTTCTACGTAGTATTCCGTCACGAATGCCTGCATTTTGCTGCATATCCTAAAACTTGCATTGTTCTGCATGACTGTTAGGGTAATAGGAATCTGCAAGCCTCCTTGTGGTGATGGGGATCGACGAAATTTGATGTCACACACACATGCTTTTATATTGCCACCATATTCAAAAAAGAACTTGCAAAATCGGGAAATCTCTCGAGGCAAATGTCCGACCAGTGACAATGGTTCA